ATGGTAGCCCGACGGGGGGGCAACAAGAATTGTTATTCAGAGATGAGCAGTCAAACACAACAACAACAACAACAACAACATAAACAGAACCACTACAACCACAAAAGACACCGCATCAGCAGCAACGATGACAACATTAACAACAACATCAACAACAACAACAATAGCAGCAGAAGCAACAACAATCACAGCAACTGCAGCAGCAGAAACAACAACAGCAACAACAACAACAACAACAACAACAACCACGACGACGACGACCAACGACAACGACACTGACAGCGACAACGCCATCGACAACAGCAGCAGCAACAACAACAATGACAACAACAACAACAACAACAACAACAATCATTTAAGACTGGGGACACTCCGTTCTCACCAGTGCCAGGGTTTTCATAGGAGGCGGGCAATACCCCCACTTTGTGGGGGGGCCAGTTCAAGCTCTACCAAATTTCCATACGACTCTTCGCCACCACCCACACCCAGCTTCCCGCCCTATGACGTTCGGACACTTCACTTCGTGGCATGCGGACGACAGTGGCTACTATTCAGGGCCCCGCGGCCGACGACGACGGCGTGCGCGCGCGAAGAAAAAACGAATGTGTCCAATATGGTATTATTTGACAGGGATGATGGCCCTGGCATGCGCGCAACCGTTGTTGCAGAAGTTCGAAGCACGTGAAAAGTTGCTCGCAAGAGCCCGTTTGACAGAAATGTTGAAAAAATATTGGGTTTCCTCAGAAATCCGCAAGAGCGCGCAAGATGATGTTTTGAAACTTTTTGTTTGAAAAACCATTGGGTTTTTCATGTTTTTATGTTAAAATCGCTACGAAAACTAAGGTTTTGGAAGGATTTCATCTTGCGCGCGCGAGTGTGCACTTCGTGTCATTTTTTGCAAAGGATTCTTGAAGTTTGGTTATGTTCGAACAAGACATGTCATTTTATATTGTTTTTTGACAGGGAAAGCGGGCGTCAACAAAACAACCGGATCTGGATGACATCGTTTTACCTGAGACTTCCTCACGAAAATTATGAAAATGTGGCTGCGGCCTAGGCGCGGGGGGGGGGCGTGCACCAGGGGGCCCAACAATAATTATTCTTTAGAATTAATAATGTTCAACAACAACAATCATCATCAGTTCAAGACAGATCGCTCTTACTGGCACGCGTGTCTTGCATTCCGTATACCCCAACCCTCGATACCCGCCCACCTCGTGTACCTCGTCTTCGATTGCGCCCCCTTTCGGGGGGAATCTCTTCCTTGTCGGCCACTGACTGAAGTGCGAAGAACTCTCGAGCGAGAGCTCCATTCCTGAGTTCGGGGGCCTCTCTGGCCAGGGGCTCTCGGAATACCGATGGAAGAATATCGAACGGGAGCCCTTGTCGCCGTGTCCGGGCCTCCACCAACTTGCCTGAATTACGGGAAATTCTCAAGGCGAGAGCGCCGTTCCTGAGTTCGGGGGCCTTCTTGGCCAGGGGCTCTCTGAGTAACCCGTGAGGGAGTATCGAGCAGGAGCCCTTGTTGTCGTGACTGGGCCTCCGTCAACTTGAGTAATTGAATTGCAAGCAAGTCTCGAGCGAGAACGCCGTTCCCGAGTTCGGTCGGGGGCCTCTCTGGCCAGGGTGTCTCGGGGTAAATTGTGAGGAAGTATCGAGCGGGGGCCGTTGTTGTCGTAGCTGGGCCTCCACGGGCCCACAGTTAGGCCCAAGCCAACGCTCGAGCGGGAGCCTCGTTTTGAGAGACATCGCGGCTGGCGTTGAGGCGAGAGCGCGCGGAATCGTTTTCGGAGATCCACAAAAATCTTCTGAAATGAATCTTCAACGACAACACGAGCAGCAAAAGCAGCAGCAGCAGCAACAACAACAGCAGCAGCAACAACAATAAACACAAAGACAACAACACCAACAACATCAGCATTATCATAATAATCATCATCATCACCATCAGCATCATCACCATCAGCATCATCATCGCCATCATCATCATCATCTGTTTCAGCATCATCATGGTCAGCCTCATCATCAACAGCAACAGCAACAACAACATCAACAACATTCATTCTAAGACTGTTCGCCCTTATTTGCTCGAGTGTCCAATAACGGGTATTTCCCAAACCCTCGACACCCGCCCTCTTCGTCTTCGATCGAACCCCTTTTGGGGGGTATACCTTTCTTCCCTGCAGGCCAGGCCCCGGCAGCGCTGATCGGCGGGGCGGCCGCGGACCGCCGACCCGACCCCAAGAGGGACGGACAGGGGACCGACCACGACGACGACGACGACGACGACGACGAGCGAAAGCGAGAGCGAGAAAGAGCAACAGCAGGGACACAAAGTAGGCCACGAACGGCGACAGCGGGGACACGAAGGGAATGCGTATGGGGCCACGAAGAACGCGAACTAGCGGGGGCCACGAAGGGCAGATAATGCGGGGACACAGAAGGCAACGATGGGGCCACTGAGGGTAGCAACTGGGCCACGTAGGACAGTGAGGGGGCC